ATGGGAAAAACATCTCCATCTCATTTACATGAGTTATATTCTGGTGTCTGTATATACATGTCAGTGAATAAACGAACTCGTCTTGAAACTGAAGCCAGGCAAGTCTGTACTTGTGCATATTGAATGTGGAGTTTAACATTTGTTGCCAGTGGTTGAATGTCCAATGATAATATGAAAAACATTTACTCAAGTCGATGATTAGGAAATTCAGTCACTGAAATGTTGTTCAAATTAAGTTGTTGGTGCTGGCTTATCCTACACTAGATAGTCCATTCACGTTGGATATAGATCCCAGTGTTGTTATCCCAAATGTAGGAAAGTGTTACCAGTGATAGCTCCTGAATGTATGACCATAAACATGGCACAGTGTTGATCTTGGCTGTAATTTTGTAGGTTATATTGCAGATTAAATTATGTCTGTGTTTGAACTTTATTTTCTTCTTTAAAAATATAACATGTTAATTAGAGTTTAGAATATAAGAAATACAGATTGGTGGTTATTTGTCACTCTACTAATTGGAACAGTTTTAATTAGAGGAATGTCTATACATTATTTAGACCACGATGGTCTGATGTGATTAGATCAGTAGAAGCTGTTAATTGATGTGTTGTGCTCTTTAATATAATTTTAACGGGTAAAGGAGTAATCTACAGGATAACTCCAAAGGCTTGTGAACTCTTAGTTTTTAAACGCATTTATTTTTAATATGTATGTATGTACGTATGTGACCTTACATCCATAATGCACATTAATAAGTATTTGTATATGAGGCGTAAATCGGTAGTCTATTTGTAAAAAACAAGTTTTTTATTTTAGAAACTATGTCTAGAGTTGAATCTGGGAACAGAAGTGGTAAACTTTGAAACCTATGAAATGAAGAAAGGTAATGAAATAAAATATTAAAATATGACGTATTATAAAGTTAGAACTAGATTTGCCTGCAGTGCAGACAATGGTGTGCGTGTGCGCATAACGTAGAAAGTTGGAAAGTTCTTATTTCTAGAAAGGTAAGAAATAAGAAGGTTACTATCTTCACAACTATGCGACAAAAACAGTGCACATCCACACAATCATACACATATATATAGCTATAGCTGAGGGAGACAGTCCCATGCTTAGAGAAAATATTCTGAAAACATAGAGACTGGAAATGTATCAAAACTTCCAGAAATTCGAAAATTTTCGTGACTTCTTCGTAACATTTACTCAAAATCTATCGCGAAGTGAAAGAGTTAATTTACCTGATCATTTTGTGCCTGTGAATATAACTTAATTATTAAAATCTCCCATCAATATCAATGTAAAAAGTGAATGAGTTTAGTCAGTCTATTACACATTTTGGACATATTTTAACAAACGTACGATATCAACGGATAATCTTATCCATTAAGGCTACATTTCCGCACGTAGTATTTAGAAAAACATAAAAGTTAAGACCATACTTCATTTAACGTAAATCCATCGATTGCATCATAACCTCCCAGGAGCTTCCATTACCGACAATGAATGACAATTTATTCCACAAATAACTAACCCTTTTAGAAAAAAAGGTGTCTTAAATGAAATATAGCCTGTATTTTATATATCTCTAACTTAACATTTTTCCTGTCCTACTATTAGTTTCAGGATACTACATACTAAAGAAATCATATAATATGTAAATTTCAATAAGATAACTCATGCCCTTCTTTGTCAAAAGAAACTAAATGAAAAACTCTTTACAAGAGAGTATTTCTATCCCTGGAATCATTGTAGTGCTCTCCTGTCCACCCTATCCAATAAGTCAGTATTCTACTGAAAATACAATTTTGTATATTTTTACATTAGTTAAGTCAATACGGATAAAAATATAACTGTACCAAATATTTCGAGAAAGGACGGTTCTCTTCTTCTGAGCCCGACGTTGCCAGGTGGTTAGGGCGCTCGACTTGTATTGTCGACGAGAAGAACACCTTTCCAATTGACGAGTGAAGGGCGTTTCTGATGAAGGACATTGACAGTTCGCTGTGGATTGAGGAGTTCGAAATAAATTACTTCTTTAATGTCCCACTAACTGCAAAGCATCACTTTCTACGGATGGAGTTCAGTTTTTTTTTTTTTTTTTTTTTTTTTTTTTTGTCTAGGGCTGGGCCATTGTCTTTGGTGTTTAATATTCGGATAGAGAATCCATTTTTCATCCCTGGTGACAATTCTGTCCAAAAATGGTTCGCGCGCGTTACACGCCAGAAGAGACGTAAGTTCATACGTTGGAAACTATGATAATCGGAGAGTTCGTGAGGCACCCAAACTCCTTTTTTAGAGAATTTTCCCATATTCCTTAGATGTTTACGTATTGTTTCATGAGAGATGCAATTTGAGGGCCATTTTACGGGTGTGCTGCCTTGGGTTAAACTCAACAAGAGCACCAATATCAATTCCAACATGTCGGCCCCCTCCATCATAGTTTTTAAAGCTAAAGTCACCTGAACAAAATTTACTGAACTATCGTTGATACTTACGAACGTTCAAAACATTTCCATAAACTTCTTTGATATTATTTGTGGCTATAAAGGCATCGTTTCCCTTCCTATATTCAAACAGCATTACATACCGAATGTGTGTCTCGTCGTGTGCCATCACTATAAGAGATTAGAGTATACTAAACTTTACATATTATATAGGCTACACTAACGTGACGTTTAGGATGCTCATTTAACTATTATATATGATGTACGTTTTTAATGAAAGTGTTCTAAAATGCGACATTAATTTCTTGACGACCTAATATTATTAGTAGCGAACAAAGGCTAGATATAAGTCTAACTAACTTATTATATATATGTGTGTAAAATAATAGAAAGACCAGTGTATAAACTGTTATTAGTAGAAATAAAGAGATTGAAAAAATAATTTCAAAATGAAATGAAAAGCAGGTTTGACGTGAAAAACCTTATTTATATAATTTACAATACTCAATTTGTTTCTTTCTTCATTTTTCTGCTTCTAAATGTTTATAACTGTACATATAATTCAGTTTGGTTTGTTTTAAATTTCGCGCAAAGCTGCACGAGCGTTATCTGCTATAATTTAGCAGTGTAAGACTAGAGGGAAGGCAGCTAGTCATCACCACCCACCGCCAACACTTCTAGGGCTACTCTTTTACCAACGAATAGTGGGACTGACCGTCACATTATAACGCCCCCACGGCTGAAAGGGCGAGCATGTTTGGTGTGACGGGAATTCGAACCCGCGACCCTCAGATTGCAGGCCGAGCATCCTAACCACCTCGTCATGCCAGGCCTATAATTCGGTATCAGCTGTTTTTGCTATCTCGAGTTGTATTATTTATACCTAATGCCGAAATTAGGTGAAGAAGAAATGAGAACATTCCAAAAAAATCCAATAAATGTTCGAAATATAGCCCAGCACCTAAACAAAACGACGCATTATATTCATATTTTTGGGTAAATAAGTAGATTGTAAATTGTACGTAGGTTCAACTATTTTTAGCAACATTCATTTATAATCTCAAGGTTTACATGCACTCGTCAACGAAGATCACGTAAATATTCAAACATCGAACGGGAATTTTTTGCAAGCCTTAAGGCAGGTAATCAACACTACCCATCGCCAACGCTTGGGCTACTCTTGTCAGAACAAATAATGGAATTTTACCGTCACTCTTAATGCATCCATGACCACTAAAATACGAAGCGCTTTTCTTATTTATTGGCGATAATTGGACGCAAACCACGAAACATCAGCTCTAAAGTCCGGCACGCTAACCACTAAATCGCATTTGGACCACAGTAGTAGAAAAAACTCATCTGTATACTGTAAACCATTTGTTTTTACTTTTACTTGATTTTAAGTTGAAGTTTTAATTTAATAACCATATGTTTTTCTCTTGTACTCTCTTGCCTCGTGTATTACACATATAGATGGGACTAAACCTTCGTTATATCGATGTAATTAAAAGAACGTGTGTCAGTCAGTCCATGCGTGTGTGCGTGCTAGCTCACATGGAAACCCAGCAATCCTATTGGCTAATTGTACAGTTATACTTTTACGCCTATACGACTCCAAAAGTAAATGACGTTTAATTAATGTGTATTGTTCTATAGGTGTGCAAAACTACGACGCAAGGAAACATTAAGTTAATTCTCTACCTTTCTGTGGCTTATAAACAAAGGAATACAATTACATCTTAAACAATTAGACCTACTGTTTAAATACGCTTCCTTCGCGAAGCATGAGTTTACCCGTTATATAAACTCTGGCAATTAGCCTTAATAGTCACTGTGAAAACTTTATTCATTTTCGATGCTCTACAGCTAACGCATTGTGCAAAATAAAATAATTGCAGGTTTGAGGTGATATATAAATAAGATTTAGACACGTACATACAAGACATTAACAAAAAACAAAACGTAATAACAGTTGATTTCTACACTTTTTGACATCATAATTTTAAAAATTTACTTTTTTTATAATTATTACACATTTACAGTTATCCCAATTCGTACGCGAAGAACGAGTTTACCTGCTAGGAGGGCCCGGCATGGCCAGGTGGTTAGGGCGCTCGACTCGTAATCTGCGAGTCGCGGGTTCGAATCCCCGTCACACCAAACATGCTCGCCCTTTCAGCCGTGGAGACGTTATAATGTGACGGTCAATCCCACTATTCGTTGGTAAAAGAGTAGCCCAAGAGTTGGCGGTGGGTGGTGATGACTAGCTGCCTTCCCTCTAGTCTTACACTGCTAAATTAGGGACGGCTAGCGCAGATAGCCCTCGTATAGCTTTGCGCGAAATTCAAAACAAACAAAACAAATACACATTTCGTTGTCTACGATTACAATTCGTTTGTATTGTGCTAGAAATGTTACATTTAAAGAAGTACTGTTACGATAAAGATACTAATTTGGCCGGAAATGTTTTGCGGGTATCTGCTAGTAAAAGATTATTTTTCGAAAAATATTTTATAATGTTTTGGCGCCACTTTAATAGATAGAAATAAGAAGACAGAAGTAATTGTCTGTTCAAAGTCAGCAGGAAGTGTGAAAGGTGTTACTAAAACTTCCAGAAAAGATGATAAATAAGAGGTATGAATTTATAGAATAAATAAATTGTATTTCTATAACAATAAAAGAAAGTATAATTAGAATAAAAGTTTAAGTTAAAAAAGGAAAGTATATTGTATAAACGTTGATTAATTTTATTTATTTTCGGGCATCTTAGATTTAAATACATTATACGTGTAATGTATAATTCATAAATTATATGTTTGTACATTTGGAAAATGTATATGTATTTAATTTACATTACAAAAACGGTATTTGATTGTTTTTTATAGCTTATAGATCCTCACTAAAATTATATTCTGAAGAGACGTTTGAAGTTACGAAACCGATTGACTGAACTAATAAAAGAGGAAAAAATAGAATATTCTGATATTCCATTGCTAGTATTTTGTTATAATCACTTATATATGGTATATATTCACCCCAGTGATCCTAAGTTTTAGCAACATGTAGCATGAAAGTTCGAGAGAACATTGCTGGTATTGTGCCCGAGTGTCCCTAACATTTTCAGTGGCAGCACAGCGGTTAAAGCAGTTGACAATAAAAATTATCATATTAATTGGTCATTTTTGTTTAGTTTTAATTCTCTTATAAAGCCTTACTGAATAATGCAAAAATTTTTCTTCTCTAGGCGTGTGTCTAAAAAAATGTAACTTTTAAGTATTTAAACAGTAAAGATAAGAGTAAATGTATTCTTTCCTTGCATTGTTAGTGTTAACACTACACAGCAGCGTTTCAGTTACAAATTCTGATGTTTAACCTAAACTTTAGTTTAGGTGAATTTAGCTAAGTTTTATGGGTTGTAGGAATCGGTTATTCTGCATTAACAATTAAGGATGAATAGTAATGGAAACAATAATACCATAATTTGTAGAAATAAAACTGTATTTACTTAAAATTTAATTTTCATGAGTAAAGCAAAATACATAAACTATTACTACAGTTTTAGTTTTACAAACAATTCATCTAATCTTCACAGAACTTCTGAACAAGTAGTTGAAGTCGTATAATTTTGAGAAAACTTCAATTCCACAATGCAATCTGACATAGTTCCAATAAAGTAACCTTGACACATGAAGTTTGAGAAAGTAACTAGAAAGAAAGAATAACCTAACTTTGAAAATTAAGCACAAAAATCTGCTTAATGACAAAACATTAACAAACTTAATAATTGTAACTTGCAACACTTCTAACAAACTTTCAAACAATATTTCATATGTTCTTGGGTGTTTGACATATCATTCTTATTTCTCTTGTTTGTTTTTTAAGATTTATTTTGCACAACACAACAAGATTACGGTTTAACCAATCTCGGTGTGTGACAAATATTATACCACGAAGAAGTCCTACTGATTCCCATATGTATATCATTAAATTATTTAAAAGCATTTTATGTTAATGATCCTGGTCATATATATATTTTGAATCTTCAATCTTCAGGCTTACAAAAGAAATAATTATCTGTACAAATAAAGTCAATTTCACTATTTCTGGTAGAATGGTCAGAAATATTGCTAATATTCTCTCTTGTGAAAAACAATCTCGGCCACCTCACAGTCTTTAACACAAACTGTACCATCAGCATCTTTTATGGGCCCAATCTTTAGCATTCTTAAAAATAATCCTTACTGTTTTGATGTTATCAGTAAACTGTTTCTCATAGGCACCTTTTTTATTTCTTTTCTAATCAAATCCTGAGCTTTTCTGTAGGTCTGTAAACCTGCCATTATATCTATTGGCTAACTCCACTCTTCTAAAATGTGAAAGACATAGTTCTTATTAACTGTACAACTAGTTTTAACAATAATATCAAAAGTAATAATTTTACAATTACTAGTCCTTAAATGCTCTTGCATGTATAATTTCTAACCATTTCATTCCAAGAATATGGAACCAGATAAAAAATAGCATCTTTCCATATGGATTTTTCACATGACAAGTGATAAAACCTTCAAAATTTAGCATCATGAGAAAAGGACAGCCAAACTCAAATTTTAATTTCTGAAAATAATAACTTTGCATATTTATATCAGCAATTTAATCACAGCCTGTCGAAAAAAACAAAAGCATTCCCCCATCGTGAACTTTGACTCAACCAAAAAACCTTCCCCTCATATTGGTAATATCTTTTAACTTGAACATTCAACTAACTTCTTACCAACAGATCTCCTTCACTTTTTTCTTATAAGTGTGGAAGAGGCTAAAGCCTTCATTTAAAAAAACAAAACATAATAATTCCAAACACATTTAATATTTAAATTGCTATCAAAGCTTCTAATTCTCAAAAATTTTGTCTCTCGTATCTGTATGTATTCTAAAATCCATGGCATTCAAGTCAACAATTTTTCTCACCTCTAGAACTTACCCATTATCTCAACATAGTTAAATTATGCCTGTCTTGTGCAAATACTTCTATGTATTATAAGCTAGTTTACCTGTTCAGTATATAAGAATAATCATGACTCATCCTCTCAGTCTTATTTGAAAACTGTTATGTTCTGTCTCTGCTGAAGATTTTGTATATGTTACTTGATTAAGTAAATTGCTCTTATCTAGTAGATAAATAACAAATATGTATCTTCATACACAGGTCCACCAAGAGAGCTGAAAGGCCAGGGATACTTCTTTGTGCCCACTGCCTACCAGAGTTCCCATGAGAATGGCAAAAAAGTGTACAGAATGCATCAAATCAGTATAGAATGTTTAAGCAAACATGAACCATGCCTTCAAGCACTTGTGTGTATGTGGCATAGTTACAAAAACCTGTTCAGGGGAGGAGAGCACACTCTTCCATGGTGCCCATGATTGGTCTGAGCAACCCTGTTCATCGTAGCAATTCTTTCAGAAGTATCTGTTGAAATCGGTGATTTTTGGCACATTATTTCAACAAAACAATTTATGAGAAAATAATGTGTGAGGTAAAACTTTGCAATTCATGCATGAACACTACTGGCCATGTCCTCTCGTTTCAATGTACTCTTGATTTCTAACACCTGTCAGTAGCGAAAATATTTTGAAAGTGCTTTGAACTGATTATTAGGACAAATTATGAATTTGATAATTTAATCTGAAACCTGTATTGAATCAACAGAAATCAGCAATACCACTAGTACCCCTTAAAAGTTTAAGCTTTAAATATAATCTATATACTTATATTAACCCCTAGTATCTATATGCTTAGTATTTCATACTTTTGGTGTATCACCTTCCTGTTGGTAAATGTTTATCATTTAACATTTATTCTTTTCTGCATCACAAGAACAATTCTGTGTAATTTCCACTAAAGACTATGTTTGTAAGACTAATAATTTCTTCACTAATCTTTTAGCTGCTATGCTGTATATATCCTATAGAAAAGATGAAGGGTCCAATTTTGACAGAGCTCTGCTTTGATCAGAACTTTTGACCAAGTAACCCATGTCTTAGGCCACAATTTTTATGAGAAATTTTCATTACCAATAAAACAAATGCTGCCATAAAGTGAATGAGATTATGAGATACAAGGTTGTTTGGATGTGGCAGCAGTTGGAGAATGCAGACTTGGCCAAAATTATGCATTCGATAACAGACAGTTTATTGTGATTGATATATATTTTCTTTAAAGCATGGATAGTATGTGATTGTGCAGCAGTAATTTATAACACTGGCCAACAAAAACTTTGCTAGTGGAGAAAACTCAAGTGATTTGGGGTAATTTGGTGATGCTGATTTCAGAAATTAAGTCAGAATTTGTCCTTCACCTCTAGATTTTGAGTTATTGTAATATCTCAATATTTTGTTATCAGTAAGTGAAATACCGTGCAATCAACTTAGTCCAATAGACTTATGCTGTGAAATTAAGTTTACGCGGACAGTTTAATGGGTAAAAGACATACATACATTTTTGAGAACTTCAAACATTGACTGTATTGTTTTGGTGTAAAATTCCAAATATATTGTTTATATATATATTATTTATTCTTAATATAATTGTAGTGAATTGCACCACTTTTCCTTCATTCCCACACTCACCTGCTCCATCCGGGAATCTCAAAACCCTCACGTGCTCAGTTTGCTGAAAACTTCAAGTCCCTCAACTGAACATAAAAGGAGCAGAATCAAATGCCTCTCTCTGTGCTTCTCACTAACTCAGTTGGTCACTCCTCCTTGATCCGGTCACAGTCAAAACAGAGTCCGATCATCTTCTTTGCATCATACCTGTGATATAATCAAATTCTGCAAAATTTGTTTTTTAAAATCTTTTAAACTCTAGTTCTGCAAATAAATTATTTGATATTTTTTAGAAAATTGCTTGAAATGCTGGCTGCCTTCAGTTCAAGTAAAGTGCAAATATCACCCAAACAGTTTCTGATACATTTGTGGAAAATATATTACAGTTTCACAAAGGAGAAACATCACACAAGGTAAAGGTAAAGCTTACTACCACTATTTTGGGTATAAAATTGGGGACCAAGAAAATTACTAGGCTCTACATGTGTGTTATACAGTTTGCACATCTTTTTTGAAAGAGTGGCTGAATAAGAAGAGGGCAAGTATGCTATTTGCAGTTCCCACGATATGGTGTAAGCCCAAAGATCATCTAACTGTCTGTTATTTTTGTATGAATGTTTCTGGATATTCAGGCAAAACTAAACAATATCCAGATCAGCAGTGAAACCAGTACCTCATGGGGATGGTCTTCCAGTGCCACATCCACCAGTGAATTGGGAAACAGAAGAGTTATCCTGTGAAGAAGACCATGAATCATCTTCATCTAGTAATTCTAGTCCTGTGGCACCTCAACATAAACTGCCTCGTCTGATCATACAAGACTAAATGATATCATTCGTGATTTGTTTCTATCAAAGCACATGGGGGAATGTCTTGGCTCTCATTTACAGCAATGGAATTTATTAGCTCCAGGAACAAGAGTTTCAATTTACCAAAGTTGCTGTCAAAGTTTTGCTTCTCACTACAGCATGAAGATTCTTTGTGTTTGTGTATAAATGTTGATGTACTAATGGAAGAATTTGGTACTGAACATCATCCTAAGGAATGGAGCCTTTTATCGACTCATCTAAAGTTAGTCTGAAAGCTGTACTCTTGCATTAAGCCATTGATTATGTTGCTCATGCTGTCAAAAGCATGAGCAATTTGTAAAAGCATGCAGATTATACTTGAGAACATCACATATGATCACCATAGGTGGAACATATGTGGTGATCTAAAGTTATTGCACTCCT